CTAACCTAACCTAACCTAACCTCTCTCCAGGCCTTCCGAAAAGCCGTTAAAACCTGGCTGTGTCGGCAGGCCTGGGGTCGATGAGTTCCCTTCCCCTCTAGAATCATGTGGCTGTTGGTTGTTTTAAATTCCCTTGTATTTTTTGTTGTAGTTCTTTGTGCTTCCCTTCCCCTACCTTGGGTTTGTGCACCACCCTGAGTCCCGCAGGGAATAGGGTGGCATATAAATAAAATGAACCTTGAACCTTGAACGCGTGAACTTTGATGTCCATTAAGCTTCCCCTGATATTTGCTGTCCATCATCATAGGTGACTATAACTAAGTTTTTGGTCTTGAAGTCTGTGGGCTTCACATAAATCAATTTTTAAAACTCAAGGAAAACAATGGTGATGGGGGCACTGGGGGGCAGTCTGTGGTACCAGCTATGGCACCAGTTTGGTTTCTGGTAATTTAACTGATGACCTGGAATTCTACAATTGGCTGAGATCAACCTGGCAACAATCACAAGAGGTGCCACATTCCAAAAAGGGTATTGCACTCCTGGAGTAAATTTTTTAAGAAAACAAAACTATAGCTGTCATGAAATAGTATCCAGCTGCAAAGCTTCAGAAAATAACTTTCCCATTATTATTCAGATTTACCCGTATATACTCGAGTATAGGCCGACCCGAATATAAGCCGAGGCACCTAATTTTACCACAAAAAACTGGAAAAGTTATTGACTCGAGTATAAGCCGAGGCGGCTTTTTTCAGCTCAAAAAGTGGGCTGAAAAACTAGGCTTATACTTGAGTATATACAGTATATCCACTTCATGGGGATTAAGAGTCTTCATAGGAATCTGGGAGTTAGACTCTGGGTTAGTGACAGTAAGGCAGAAAAAATATTTTGGGGTTAGAGGAGATATTTGGATAATAGAGGTTGAACAAATGAGCAAAATTGTTAGAGAGGGAGGGAAAGAGGGAAGGAAGGAAGGAAGGAAGGAAGGAAGGAAGGAAGGAAGGAAGGAAGGAGGGCTAAGAATGAGCAACTTCATTTTGAATTGTGCTTAACAATCAGCTACTCAAGAATTTATGTGCATCTAATTTTGAAGTAATTTGTTCTTCTGTTTCTAGCAAAGACTCATTCATTCAAGAAATCCATTTGGATGGATAAAGCTGAATGTTTACAACACTCTCAAAAGTAGTACGCTATTCTAAAGGACATAGACATAGAGGATACCATTCCAGTGCCTCTGAGATAAATAACAGGAAGGGCTGAATTAGCAGGATTCCTCCCCTATGAGTAATATAGAGACCTATTTCAGAAAATTTAAGTAAACCACCTCAGCTTCTTCCATCCAAGCAGATTCCTTGAAAGAACTGGGAGTCCTATGGTAGGAACACATGAATAGATTTAAGTGTTGAAATCTTTCTGGAATTTTATCATCCATAAGTTACCTTTTTATTTGTGTAGATCAGGGGTGTCAAACTCAAATTTCATTGAGGGCTGCATCAGCAATATGCTTGTGTGTGTGTGTGTGTGTCCAGGATGGGCATGGCCAGTTCAACGTTACTCCTTTGGTAGCCCGAGGGCTCTGAGAGAGAAAACGGACGCATGAGCTCTGTTTTCGCCTGCGACAGCCTCCTGCAACCCTCTGCCAGTGAAAACAGAGCTTGGGAGGGCCGAACATAGCCCTCCTCAGCTCCTTTTTCACTTGGAAGAGGCACTGCAAGCCAGTCTTTTGCTGTTTCCAGGGCAGCCCCACAGGCCAAATTTAAGCACCCAGTGGGCCAGATCCAGCCCCTTGGCCTTGAGTTTTATACTCCTGGTGTAGATCATTTAGGTCATGGCCAGTTTCTTAAAGATTTTAAATAAATGGTGTGATTCATCATGGAATTGCTTGTTCATTAAAACAACTAGCTCCCCAAATAATTATTCCCATCTTAAAGAAAGAATACCAGAAAGTACTCTACTCTCTGATTTATCTTTTGAAGAAATAGTAAGAAACTACTGGCTTGGGACAAAGCTAGAATCTGAAAATGTCTTTCACCATTTCTTCTTTTATGGTATTATTATTTACAAGGAAGTATATCAGCCCTGCTAAGTATGGGAATATTAATATGATCAAAATAAATTGTCATTTTAAGCAATCAAACAATTCCTTAAAAAGATGGTGGGGACAGCTGGAATATTTCTTTAATTGCAATGATTTTTTTTTTCTAGCACTGGCCAGTTGATGAATACCTTATCTACAAATGTGATCTTGGACAGATAAATTCATCTATGATCCATATAACTGGGATGATGTCTACCCAAAACAAATCAGAGGTAAAAACAGCTCCCTAATTAACAATGGTTTCTAACCCCATTTCTTTTATATCTGAAACCTGGAGAATGGGAAAATGTATCTAATAGATGACTGAATATTTTAGTAGACAAATCAAATGTCTGAATATTTCAGGAGGCAGAGACATTCATGAAGCTTGTGGATTGCAAAGGAAAGAAACTACAGACCTACAAAAAACTGAGATGAGATATTAGCAAAGAGTCTGTGGTGGAGTAAATGTCTAATCTAGCTATCTTTACATTACCCAGATTTTAAAATAATGTATTATTTTGTTATGATTTGTTTCACTTAGCATACTATCAGAACACAGTTGCAAGCACAATTGAATGATAAATTGCTGAACATCAAATGGTTATTATATGCATTGAAGTTTTCTAATTACCTCTGAAGATCACAGTTGGGTTAATGGATTTTGAACACGTTATCCATTCACAAAGGGCTTGTAATCTGTCTCACATAATCATGTTTCCCCCTTTTCACCTACATTGCATTTGATGAAGTGACTAGTTACTTCATAACAAAACTGTATGTTTTAGGATTAGTAGATTTTACTCATGAGGTGATATTAGCCTCCAGTTCTGGGATACCATAAACTAATATGGCTTTCCACCTACAATGTTTATAATTAAAAACCTCAAGCAAACACAAACATTTTTGGGTGGGCTACTTGAACTCCCAAAGACTTTGAATTTAGTTCTCGAACTCACATATTTGAAAGCAAATGACTTGCTTTGATAAAAACTGGCATATTCGTCTTACGATTTATGCTGCCTGATGTTTACAATGTATGTAAACTTCATTATCGTTTTTTTCTTGCTAGCACTCTCTTCAGGCCAAACTTTCCACAGCCTTGTGGGTTGAATTTGATACTGGAAGATATAAAAATGTCTACAGTCATGAATTTGTCCAAGTTCAGGTGAGTTTGTGACTGAAATTATTTATTTCTCTTCTTCCCTAAGAATTTTCTATATTCTTACGATATTGTAATCTTATGGTATTGTTATCTCTTCTGCTATAATATTCATCCAACCAATCCATGTATTTTAGGCTGGAAGCTCTCAGAACTATTCAGAACAGGGGTCCCCATCCTCAAGGCCGCGGCCCACTACTGGGTCTTGAGCCTTTCCGAACCAGACTGCAGAAGTGGAGGATGTGCGTGCCCACTGCTTGTGCAAATAGAGCTGCACATATGTGCTTGCCCACCACGCACGCGGCACCATCCCCTCCCCGCCAGTCTGCAAAGCTGAAAAGGTTGGGGAACTCTGATTCAGAAAGTTCAAAGAAAGGTTGCAGAACACTTTTAAATTTATTGAACTTTTTTCTTTACTATCATATGGTCAACTGATCAAACTGGCTACAAATCCTAAATCCCATGATTTTTTGAACAGCTTTGATGCAATCTACTAATTTTACCTCCTGTATTAAATAAGCCACATCATCCCTTCAAATGCAATCCAAAATGTAATTTGCAAGTAGGTTTTGTTAGGACCAATTAAAAAAAACCCACAAACAATTGGATAAAACATTCAAGATGCTCCAAATCTCCCTCGTTTTCAGACATTATTACAAAATATATTCAAGCACGCCTCTAGAATTGGTGTTTTGGGGGATCTTTAACTACTTTTTAAAGTCACTGAGTGGATGGAAAAGTCAAATATTAATAATAATAATAAATTGAGGAGGAGAACAGAAGGGAAAATGTTATGAGGTAATAAAGTTTGCATTATCAGAATCTTCAGCTGAACAGGAAGGATAGGAGACTCATTTGCTAGCTATTGTTTTTATTTAAAGCAACTACTTAATAAAACTTTGATGGAGAAAAGGTGGCCATATGCCAGTCTTTAATGTTTGCTTAATTACATGATCTCCCTGGCTGGAAAGATATGATTATGATTGTATGCCTCTCTCTTTCTTTCTTTTACATGCCCTACAGGTCACAGAAATAGAAGTGATAATTATGATGAATTATCTCCCAATTATAATAGGCAGCGTCATTGGAGGCTTGTTCTTACTTATTCTCTGCATTGTAGTACTTTACAAGGTGAGAATTACTTTATTTCAGAAATCCAGAGCAACTCTGAGGAACTGAAAGTTGGCCTCTCCCTGGTCAGTTGGATTTAAAAAATGATTGGATCAGTAAGATTTCAAACTAGCATTGCTAACATTCAAAAATTATTCATTTATCACTACTTTATAATGTCCAAAGTATATTGTCAAGCTACAGTTTCAGCTAGAATTATTTGAGATGTCAGAAATTAAGCCTAGGATCTTTTGCTTGCAAAGCGTGGACTATACCATTTCCTAATTGTTAGCAATTGTTGATGTTGTCCCTGGCATTTTTCACAGCTCCAAGAAAGAATTATTGGAATTCTTAAATTCTTAAACTGTTGTGACTTAAATCTTAGCTGCTCTACCACTTTACTTACTTAGGTTTTTCAAACTTGCCAATGTTTGAGAAGCAGTTTAATCAGAAACAGCATGACTGGAGACTATCAGCCTCTAGTAATTGTATTATCCTTGCTTTATGAACACAACTGAAACCAAAAATTTCTATTGCTAAGCAAGATAGCTGTTAAGTGAGTTTTGCCCCATTTAACAACCTTTTTTGTCATAGTTATTATGCGAATCACCACAGTTGTTAAGTTAGTAACATGCTTAAGTAAATTTGACCTTTCCATTGACTTTGTCAAAAAGTCGCGAAAGGTGGTCACATGATCACAGGACACTGCAACCATCATAAATACATGCCAGTTGCTAAGCGCCCAAATTTTGATCACATGACCATTGAGATGCTGCCGTGGTCGTTAAGTGTGAAAATTGGTTAAAAGTCATTCACTCAGACTTTAAATGGTCACTAAACGAATGGTTTTAAGTGAAGGGCTAACTATTTGTGTTTGTAGAACTTTTTTTAAATTATTTTTTATTTTGCAACATACAACGTAAACTCCATTCCTTACAGACATTCTGTGAGATAGCTTATGTGTAACTGTTTACCTCACAAATGTTGTACAGCTTGGCATGAATTGAATTATTGTATATCGAACTGCTTAGATCTGAGTTTTTTTAAATTAAAGCAGTGTTAAAGCACTTGCAATAAATAAATAAGCAAGCAAACAACCTATAAATAAATAAGCAAATTTAGACCAACAGTGTTTGTCTGTTCCTTTAATATATGTACATAACTGGAAAGGAAATGGCATCAGATAAACTGAACAATATTTAATGCTCATCCTGTAATTATACAAATAAGTGGTGAACGGATTAATTTATTTGTATCCCAATTTCATTATCTTTACAAATAATTCAAGGTGGCGAACATATTCAATTCACCTTCTTCCTTCTATTTCCCCACTCCCCATAACTCTGAGGTAACTTGGGCTAAGAGAAAGGGATTGGCCCAAAATCACCCAGCTGGCTTTCCTGGCTAAGGCAAGACTAGAACTCATGATCTCCCGCTTTCTAGCCTGGCGTGTAGCCACTAGATCAAACTGGCTCTCTTTACCGATTCAAAATCATTAAGCTGAGGCTGGATCTCCCTACCTAATTTCTGCTTCTAATGGCTTTTCTTACTTTGCGTTACAGTGTGGGTTCTTCAACCGGAATTATAAACAGAAGATAGAAAATCAAGGAGAAAATGAAAATGCTGCACAAACAGCTGACAATCCAGAAGATGGTGCAGAGAAGGAAGGTTCTAATACGGAGAAAGAGAGCCAAAACAAACTCCTTACAGAACCGTCGAATACAGAAAATGAGACCCAATGATCAAATCATGTTTCTCTCCAGAGACTACATCCAGGCTATTTGTTATAAATGCTCAGTGTGTCTGTATGTGTAGGGAGGGGGGGAGGGGTTAGGAGTCAGGAGACTGCGGTGCTGGTAATGATGACTTCCTTTTTCCTTTCAAAAACGAAAAAAGAAGCTATCGTTGCAATTATTTCAAGTGCTTCCACTGACCGTCTTAGAAAAAGATCCATAATACGTGTCTGCTGAGGCAGAAGGTAGGTACGCAGGATGAGAGGACCAGAACAAGATGCAGGCAGGCAAATGTGTTTGTCTGCATCCTCTGCTAGTCCTTTAATCTGAGACAAATCTGCTGTTTTTGTGTTCATATTGTCATGAGATTATTTTCTAGACGATAGCAGATTTTGGGATTCTGGACCTTTGGCCTTTGTTCGTCTTATTTGTTGCACAGCAGAAATGGGTAAGACTTAAAAGGGGAATTATGCGAATTCCCTCACTTGGCAAGGGATGAAATAAATTCTCTGGAATTCTGGACAGTAACTACCAGCAGATGGTTAGATAAATAAATGTCAACTTCCAAAACCAAGAACCATGCGCTGAGTTACTCCAAAGCAGTTCCCTTTATTGTTCCTCATCTATGGACAGAAATCTTGCCACACTAAAGCAAATCAATAAAGATATACACCAAATTGCTACCTTAAGCCTCTTCCTCCTAATCAAACTACATAAACTTTGCTGTCTCTCAGTCCTCTGCAATGCGACCTCTCCAATGCGGCCCCTCCCGCCTCGGAATCCAGGCTATTTTCACCACATCTCCACCCTTGGAGATTACAGGGGTCAAATCCAACCATCACTTCAGCTTTCTTACTGGAGTCTAAAATCCCTATCTTGGCAACTCTCAAATGAATGGGAGGAGACAGAATGGCTTGGACCCTAGTCAGGAGCTTCACCATCTTAAGCACCATTATGCCCTGCATGATGTCTCTAAATAACCTTAATTAGATTTATATTACTTCCCATATTTAGTATGGAAGGGAACAAAAGAGATGGAAACATCCACCCCCAAACATAGAAGCAAGAAACAAGAAAGGTAACAAATGACAATCTGTTGCGGGCTAAGCCCTTGGAAATAGTAAAGTATTCTGTCATCAGAAAATTTGGAGCAGAACAGAATCTGTAAATCAGGATCCAACTTCAAACAAACAAACAAAAAAGGCAGTGTGTGTTATCAAAGTTATATGGCCTTCAAACTGGGATTGTTTGAACTTTTCATTGATCACTTTTGCACTTATTTCTATTCTATGTTAAAATATTTTGGGGGAAACTTTTTAAATTTATATTTTCTTCACCATATTTCAGTAAGGACTTTCTTAAATATATATTTTGGTAATGTATTTGCTATAATGTAACTTTCTCAGAAAATCTGTAACAGTAATGTGAACAAATAGAATTACAATAGATAGATAATAATTTCACAGACGGTGGCCAAAATAAATGTCTTAGATAATTTTTACCTTAATAAATGAAATCAATTTTCCAGAACAAAAAAAGTTTATATTCCATAATCTCCGTATATCAAAATCACTAATGAAATCCCCCCAACTTTGAAAAGAGGTTGGCTGTGCTGCTTCTTTTTTTGGGGGGGGGGAGGGGTCAAGGTTAAGCCTTCAGTGTATATATGCAAGTTATATGCAAGTGTCATGAATGATTTAAAATGTTGAGTAATAATCCTGGCTCAATTTAAAAGAATGCAGGGTGCTTGAGTGGAATCAAAAAGAGCATTTATTAGTTCAGCAGAGGGAGACACAGAAAAGAGAGAAAGATTAGAACGTTACAAAAATAACTACAGTTGGGAGAGATTCAGAGCATGCAACAGAAGTTTCAAAAGCTGTTCTAGTTAAATATTGGAGTCTTAAGAGTGTCCCCACATTCTGCTGGGTTCCTAAGTAACAATTGTGAAAATAAAACAACTGTATTATCTTTTATGTCATCCTCCCGCTTCCCAACTTCCTAAGTCAATTATTTCAAAGCTTATAGACTGAATTGAAGAAAAATTTCTCCCAAATCAACTCCTGGAATCCAGCAAGAATTGCCACCATAAGGAAAGGCACCCACTTATTTATAAATAAGGCATCTTACCTTGGAAGTGTTGTGAAACTTTTTTTAAAACAAAACTTGGGCTGGATTGGTAAGTATAATACAGCATGTACATAGGTAGAGTTAACGTTTAAAAACGGACTGACTAAAATCATCCTTTGGAATTATTTTGATCCGCAAACGGCACAAGACTTGGAATGATACAGGGAGCCAGATCATAGAGCTTGACCATAAGGCAGCCACCACACAGCGCTCTGTAGCACAGGCATGCAGGGACTGGAGTGAGGGGCATGTTCAAGTGGAGAGTAGACACCACAGAATACCCTACAAATATAAATACAACTATATTTGTTGCAGAAGAGCATGACCGCTTTGCATCAAAGTACGATTCTGCTGTTTAGCCACAATGACTTTTGATGACTCGCTGGTTTGAGCTATTATGAGCATTGTAGGCATTCTACTCTCTTCTACTATATCCCAGTCAATCATTTCAATTCCTTAAGCTCCTCAGCTTCAGCTGGGTGACTCAGCCTCTGACTTCTGTCTTGTTCTCTTCAAGCTGTCCTCCCCATCTCCTAGCCAATTTTGCTTCTCACTATCGTCTTCGCTGTCCTGCCATTCCTGTTCCTCAATCAATTTCTCCTGCCTTAAATTATCTAAAGTAGTCTCCCATTCTTCCCTTATGCTTTCGCCTCTATCATCCTGCCAATCGTGCTTTGGGATCTCATCCTGACCTTTCCCCCCAGTGTTTGAATTACTGTCACCTTGTATGTATTCTTCTACGCTTTCACCATCTTCATCATCATGACACTCTAGCCTGATACTCAGATTGTCATCCTGGAAACTCTCCTCCACCCTCCTGTAATCACCACCATCGTCATCATCGTCATCCTCCTCCTGACATTCCAGCCTCATGCTTTCAGTACAATCCCCCTGTGATCCCTGTTCCAGTTGTTCATCCTCATCGTCCTGCCACTCGGTCCTCATGGAGGATTCCACACCATCTTTCCAGGTCTGCCTCATGCTTTCTCTGCCATCATCCTGCAACTGTTCCTCCAGACCCTCATCAACGTCATCCTGCCACTCCACCCTCATGGCCTCATCCCCATCATCCTCCCATTCCTGCCTTGTGGCCTCATCTCCAACACCCTGCCATTCAGGCTCCATAATCCCTATCCCATTCCCCTGCCACAGGGTATGTGCTTCCCCTCCCACTCCCTGGTCCCCAACCTCTTCCATCCCAGCCGTGTCCCATCCTTCCATCAAAGTCAATGTCTCCCCTCTCCTCACATGGGCTCGCCGATGCTGAGAAAGTGCTGATTTCTGTCCAAACCCTCTTCCACAATAGGGACATCGAAAGGGCTTCTCGCCAGTGTGAGTTGCTTGATGCTGAAGGAGAGCAGAGCTACGCACAAAGCCTTTCCCACAGTCTGCACATGAGTAGGGCTTCTGCCCTGCATGAATACGTTGGTGTATATGGTAGGTGGAGCTGACACTGAAACTCTTCCCACACTGGCTGCAGCAGTAGGGTCGTTCACCGGTGTGAGTTCGCTGGTGTTGCAAGAGTGCCGAGCTTACGCCAAAACCTTTCCCACACTCATCACATTTGAAGGGTTTCTGGCCTCGGTGCACCCGCTGATGCTGCTGGAGGTTGGAGCTCTGATTGAATCCTTTCCCACAGTCTGGACAGCGAAAGGGACGCTCGCTCATATGGATCCGCTGGTGTCGGATAAGATGGGAGCTCTCTGCAAAATGCTTCCCGCACTCAGGACAGCCAAAAGGTCGCTCTCCGGTATGAGCGCGGAGGTGACGGACCAAATCAGCCCGGAGGCGAAAGGTTTTGCTACACTCCCCACAGGAAAATGGACGCTCCCCAGAATGGAAGCGTTTGTGTTGGGTGACTTTTGAGCTCTGAGAAAAGCATTTTCCACAGATGGAGCAGACGTAAGGCTTTTCCCCAGTGTGGATCCGCTTGTGCTGAATGAGATCAGAACTATGGCTGAAGCTCCGCCCACACTCTGGGCAGGTGAAAGGTCGTTCACCTGTATGTGTCCGTTGGTGGATGATGAGATTGGAACTCTGTGAGAAGCCCTTGCCGCAATGTGTGCACCGGTATGGCTTTTCACCTGTATGAGAACGCATATGCTGAACTAAATGAGAGTCTTGGCGGTAACTTTTGTCACAATGGGGGCATTTGTACGGTTTCTCACCTGTATGGACACGACGGTGACGAATTAGGTGAGAGGTGTTACTGAAGCTCTTCCCACAGTCAGGACAAATGGTAGCTTTGAGCATTTTGTCGTTGTCAGAAAGATTATCTGTAGATTCCTGTTCCAGAGATATGATAGATTCACCATTAAAGACCTCGTGCGGAGTGCTTGCCATCTGATAGTCTTCTATTCCTTTCACTGGAGAGTCTCTATGTTGCATTTGTTGGTCTTCTTTTTGTTTGTTCTGTGATTCTATTTCCTCTTTGTTTTCATGTGTCATCTTAATGCCTACAGTCAGAAGTTATATCATAACAATTTAATCTCATTCTCACCAAATAAATTTAAACTTTTTATCTATATTACTTTAGGAAAGCAGATTACTGTATATCTTAAAATAATCGATGCCAAACTCAAAAGAATTTTTAAAGTCAAGTTCACTCCTGATTTACACTACTATAAGGCCACACCATCGAAGATGATGTGTAGAGGTTAATTTAGATATCAGAAGTTTATTTAACTGACTTTCCCATATAAGTTATGAAAACTAAACATAAATTTTCTTGGATCCTCGTAAAACATATAAATATTTAAAAATTTAAATATTATTGTCCATTCATGTCTGGAAGAATCTCTATAAGACTTGCAATGAAGTAGAANGTGTACATCCCTTTGATACTCATGTCCACGAATTCACCCAAGCTGTCCACAGCATCTCGGTAGGTCTGGATGTAGCCTATGCTGAGCGCTGTCATATTCTGGATTGCGCTGTTCAAGGCTCTCGACATCTGGTCCACTGTCTGTGCCACATCTGTGGTCAGCCTTTCCAGATCCTGAAGGACCTGGGGATCCACTGGAGGGATATCTGCAGTTTTGCCTCGGACAGAGTGCTGAGATGACATTGATGAGGTGGGCTCTGTATCATCCAGACTGCCCCGAGAGCTCATCTTGATCTTCATTTGCAAGTTGTTGGCCACAAAATGTGTCAGGTCTCCATCGTAGCTCACTGTTCCTTCCAATTCCAAGGCGCTCGATATAGTGGCTCTTCTGCCTTCTTGGTTCTTGGATGCCCCGTATACCTGGCTTATCCCATCCATGCTGTGACTGTCCAACAGACGTCCTCCGGCCATGCTTTCCCTGGCTGCAACTCGCACGGGGTTCGGCAACCGCTTGGATTCTTCTGCGGCTACGGAATTGGACGAGGGGGCTTGGATGTGGACTTGGGCCATTATATGTTGCCCCTCCATCAGGCAATGCGGGAAGGAGACCCAGGAGAAACAAGAAGCAAGAGAAGGAGGGTGCAAGGCAAAGGCTGAAATGGGAAGAGAAGCACAGAGAAAAGCCTCGAGGGGGTTCAAAGGAAAGATTCCTCTGGAGATACAAAGCACAAAACTTTTTTTCCCCATCTCCCACATCTAAACACGCACGGGAACCCCTTCTGCTTCTCGAGGGCGGAGATTGGTCTAGGAAGAGGTGGGGAAAAGAGCGGGTTGGCTATAGGGAGGAGTAAGTGTCCCTTCTCATTGGCTGTCGTCGGTCTAAAGTCCCACCAACCGAGGTGGAAAAACTGGGCACTCTTTGACTGGGTTCTCTTCCTGCCAGAAGGAGCAGAATACACAAAATGTCATCCTGGGGAGGGAGAGGACAAGTGGAGCCTGAGCTGGCATTAAAGGAGCAGAGGNAAATTTATTTTAATAAAATGCTTTTGGAGTAAAAATCTATCTACAGATAGTTTTCTATTTAATATACATTAATAATTTAGTTTATTCAGCATGAAATGCAACTTAGTTATGTAGCCTGAGGCTGTATATTCTGCAATATTGGAACTGCCAGTGAATCAACAGCAGGTCAGAGGAGCCACTGCGGGACAGAGATAACAGTTGCTCTTTAAAAATTATGATTTAAATAGAGTTTATTTAAATCAAGCCTTTTTACTAGTGATTTAAATGATTTGAATCGTGATTTAAATCAACTTAATTTAAATCAAATTCCCCCTGCACTTATATTAAGTGCAGGGGGGGGGGTTATATTAAGTGCAGGAGAGCTGAAATCTAGCTGCTAGATTTCAGCTCTCCTGCACTCAATATAAGTGTAACACATAGGGTTTTATTTAAGATTACGATTTCTAGGCTGCTCAGTTCTGGAGAAAAAATATCTACTGTAATGGCCCAGTCACTTTGGATAGTCAGAAGGGGGTTGATTTATATATAAATTTAATAAACGTGGTTGCTAAGAGTTGAAACCCAAATTGATGGCATGACATCAATTCCAAAATGGCTCACAGCAGCTTACAAATGATAAAATTTATATCCTGCCCTTATTATTTTTGCAAATAAGGCAGCAAACATATATTACTCTTGTTTTCCCCAGCAACGAATTTGTGAGGTGGGTTGGGCTGAGAGAGTGACTGGCCTACAAGGTCTCCTGATAGACTTATTTGGTTCAGACTATAGTCTTAGGATGAAAAAAATAATGGAATTTAGGTATAATATGAAAAAAGGGACTCTACAGGGAGAGTTGGAAGTTACTTGAGAGCTTTCATGCCTTGCATGCCATATTTTGATAGATAGTGGTGTAGAAAGTTAGCACCCACCCCTCTCCTAGAATGAAATATTTTGAGAAATATTAAAAAAGGCAGGATAAAATATTTCCCCTAAAAGAGAAATAAAAATCTTAAGGGAGACTGAAACTCAGAACCACAGCTCCCTGCTCCCAAGAAGATACTAAACTGAGGCCGGATTTGGTAATCCATTATTCCCTGCAGCAAGGTCTGAACAAAGGTAGGGTTAGCCCTCAGCCACAATAGGAATTGCCCAACAAGCCCCTTCATTGCATCAACCAAACAAACTTCAGACAACCTACAGAGCCAGCTATGACCCCTACAACAGCCAATAGAATACATGTTCTTCCACAGGAACAGGAAGTTCAAGTGCAAAGCCGAAGAGAAGGTATAAAAACCCCTCTCTCTCAACTCCATGTGTTCAGCTACCCAGAATCACACGTGCTTGGTGGTTTTGCTTCATCATTAAATCATCTTTCCAATCAGCCTCCATTTTTCCAGTCTCTTTCTCCCAGCTTGGAACTGAACCAGATGGATATTTCTTCCAACAGTGGCAACCAGTGTTAACTAGCATGCATGAGATTTTGTGGGGAAGAAACAGCCAGAGAAATGGATGGAAGAATCCTGGTGATTATTGCCGCGGGGGGGGGGNCAAGTGGAGCCTGAGCTGGCATTAAAGGAGCAGAGGATCATCGCATCGTTTGCAGTGACCCAAACACCGACATTTTCAATTCTGACCATTAAAGAATGTGTTGTTGTAATGTGTATTTTTATTTTACTAAATCTATATGCCACTCATCTCACTATCCAAAGCGCTTCGGCTAGACAAGGAGGAATGGAATAGAATAGAAATTAGGAATGGAATTAGGAATAGGAATAGAATACAATGGAATGGAATTAGGAATAGGAAATAGAATAAATAGGAAATAGGAATGAAATTAGGAATATGATTGAATAGGAAATAGGAATGTAATTAGGAAATAGAATAGAATAGGAAATAGGAATGGAATTAGGAATAGAAAATAGAATAGAATAGGAAATAGGAATTAGGAATAGGAATAGAATTAAATAGGAATGGAATTAGGAGTAGAATTGAATAGAATTCTTTATTGGCCAACTGTGATTGGACACACAAGGAATTTGTCTTTAGTGCATATGTTGTCTAAATGGAAACTGATCAAGGAGAGATTTAACCTAGCAATAAGGAGAATTTTTTTGACAGTGAGGACAAACAACCAATGGAACAGCATGCCTTCAGAAGTTGTGGGAAGTTGTGTTCATCACTGGAAGCTCTCAAGAAGATACTGGATTGCCATTTGTCAGAATGGCTTGGGTGGGGGTGGTGTTGAACTAGTTAATTTACAAGGTCCCTTCCAACTCTGTTAATCTGTAAATCTGTAAAGTCATAGGTACTCAGAGCTCCCCCCACCAATATAGGGTTGAGTGGTACAGGGTAGAGTCTTCCCAGTAAAAAGGTGAAGAGATGCAACAGAATCTCAACATTATGGTGGAAGGAAAGCCTGATGAATTCAATAGGATTTATCTGAAGCAAGCAGTGCAAAGCATCTTTGGGTTTTAGTTTTTAATCCACACTTTATTTAATTTATTCCTTTTTAAAATCTTGAATGATTTAATACAGCTATTATTTTCAAGCAGAAGGAAGGGAATATAGAATTATGGTCCTGTGAGCTGAATCCACATCCTGCTCTTCTTTGGCATTTGGCTCTTCCCATCTCTTAATGATAAAGCTCTTTTGGCTGTATCAGAAAGGGAGGAACAGGTGGAATATTGTTGGTCATAGAGATGTTCATCCTAAGGTAGGTGACAGCAATGAAGCAACATAATTGCTCAAGACTGTTTCCAAGTTTACCTAAAAAGTTACACCAGGTGGCCATAAATACAGACATGTACAAAANTTGTTTTCCACTTTCCATGTGGGAAAACTGCAACAGTTAGCTCTGAGGAATTCTGATTCTGGGGGAGGGAAAAAACCAAATTTCTTTAGCACGGGGAATGCAGATGTCTGTCTTAAAATTCTGTCTCCAAAAAAAAAAAGAGAGCTTCCGAGTCTCCAGAGTCCCCTAATTGATTCTCTGCCTCCCTCCCACAGGCACACATTTGAGTTTCTTCACACCCTCAAATCCCCTTACATTTTACGGAGTAGATATATTTCACAAATCCCGACCCGTCGAATGTAGCTGTATATTCGTTATACAACTACATTCCTCCTCGGTCTGATAGGATAGATCGATCCTAGCAATAATAGATTATTTTTTTTTAAGAAACGTGTTTACCAAAACCATTAGGTTTTTTTTTTTAATTTATTTCAAAGCAAACGAAGGCTATTTTGACAATTTAAAAAAACAACACAGAGAATGAGATGAACTGGAGCTTTCCTCCTTTAGCTTCTCCCACGCCAGTTTGCTGTCATTAACAATTTCCTGACCAGGTTGTTCTTTTGATTCCCACATGTTCACCAGCCCTTTCATCTTCTCTTTTCAGGCTGTCCAGAGAGATGCTGCTAGCTAGCGCAGCCATTTCAAACCTTGTTACTTGGTTGCGCTCTCCCTGACGTGTCCCCCCACTGGCTTTGTTTTCATTAAAGAGTGGGCACGGGGAGGCTGCTAGGTGCCTAGCTATAGAGATCCGCTTGGAACAGGAAGGTCCCTGCATGATTAAGACCCTTCTCCAACCCTACTTCCTTCTGGGTCCTTTCTAGGCAGCAGAATTC